TAAATTAGCAAGCGACAATAAACAAACTTATATAGACTTCATTGATAAGCATGTACATGCCTACCTCCTAGATGGACAAGAAGATCCTCATTTACATGAGTTAGTCAAAACTTATCAAAAGCATAGCCATTCAAAAACCTGTAGAAAGTACAAAAACATTGCCTGCCGATTTAACTTTGGACAGTTTTTTACAAACAGAACAATTGTGGCTGAACCTCTCTCAGATGATATTGATGAAGACATAAAAACAAACATACTTGAAAAAAGAAGGGAAACTCTTACTTTAGTCAAAGACAAGATAGATGATGTATTGAATCCAAGTAAACCAAATTATCACACAACACTGACAGAAGCYGATATTTTCAGTTCTGTTGGCATAACAGAAGACCAATACTATTCAGCATTATCTGTTTCACCTGATTCAGATTATGAATTGCACCTTAAACRACCAATAAACAGTTGTTTTATCAATAATTACTTTATAGCAGGAATAAAAGGGTTTGCTGCTAATGTTGATTTACAGCCAGTTTTCAATCACTACAAGTGTATAACATGTGTGTTCACACTTCACCAAAGATGAGACTGAATGCTCACAAGCTATTATGAATGCAGCAAATGAAGCTAAAGATGCCAATATGAACATAAGAGATGGATTGAAAAAAATTGGTGCTGCATTCCTGTCTACTAGAGAAGTTAGTTCACAAGAATGTGTATACARATGTATGCCTGAATTATGGCTAAGGAAAACTTTCCCAGCAGCAGTCTTTGTCAGTACTGACTTAACAGACAGAAGAGTGCGTGTCGCAAAATCAAAAGAAGAACTCGAAGAACTAGACGACGAAAGTACTGATGTGCACAAATCCAATATAATTGAACGCTATACAAAGAGACCACAATCTATTCCTTCTGTGAACAATCTATGTCTAGCAGAGTTTGCCTCTTATTATTATAAAGATTATAAGAAGGAATGTCAAGACACAGCTGATGCCCAGCCACAAGTGCTCACAGACAACTTGGTTGAATTTCAACATACCTCAGACAATCAAGAGTCTTCACTTCCAGACCAAATAAGATTAATGGATACTAATGAAATTATGAAACATAGAAAAGTCAAGGCTGTAATAAGATATCATACACCAAACAAGAGAAAGGAGCCTGAAAGGTTTTTTCATCATTTACTAATGCTTTACTATCCATGGAGAGATGAAAGTAAGCTATTGCACAGTGATGGTACCTATGCATCAAAATACCATGAGCCTGATATTCAACCAATAGTAGATCATAACAGGTCTATATTTGAACCTGATGTAGATGCAGTAACAGAAGCACTTGAAAGTCTAAGAAATAACCAGGGTG